AGCGGCCGATGCTGCGAAAAGTTAACTTCCACTTAAAATCTAACTCGTGCTCAAGTCACTGCACAGCCTGTTTGGAGCCTAACTTTGACTTTATCAAAATTGATGGCCGAACTGTCGCGTGCCAAACCGGGAGTTATTGGTTGCTCACAAACCAATCTGGGCGTTCGACCGACACAAAGCTCTATCAAGGGACTTTCAACGGCTACATCACCCGTGAGCATCTGCCTATATCTGCTGGTCTGCGTCATCCGTACAGCAACAAAAAGTAACTCAGCATAACCAGCATGTTCTAACAATCACTTTTATGGAGGACAAGGAAGCTTGTAAGGGCATATTCACGTGAGTTATGCTTGTTGTAAATATAAGGTGCATGTCTAACCACTGAGATAATGTTACAGTATAGGCAATACCATGCTATTATCCTAAGCTAATTCTGAAACATGTGCTGCCTTTAGTTAAACAGGAGGCGTTCTGTAACTTCCAAATGATAGCTGGATACAGTAGCGATTCTATCGTTAGTCTGAAGACGATAAATGACACTACCTTGCGAAAGAAAAGCATGGTAATTGTTGGGCTAATCATGCAGAAAGACGGCACCCTAAGGCTTTGCGTTGTCTATCGAATGCTACACCCAGTGACCTCAAGATAAGTATATGGTGGAAATGATCGAAATCGGTGGTCAAAATATAATCTACCTGATACTATATCATCACTTTATTGTGACTTTGTTACAACCCAAATGCATATTAGATCTTCAGCTTATTTTAGATAAACCTTTCTCTAACCATTCAGCCTACTAAAAATCCCCACATAAGTTACCACTGCATACTAGTGCAAACTTCCCTACATGCACGAAAAGACCGCACTGCAGCCTGCCAAATACTGGCTTTAGCAAGTTGGATAACTAGAACTAGCACTTCTGGCATAGGCACAGCACTTCTTACAGTATTAGTCAAGCCCTAGAAGTTTAAACTGTAGGAGACAACTAAGACAAGCACTGATATGCTCCGAGCTTCAAACAACTACTCTACTGGGAATAGCAAAAATACAGGTCCACACTCCTATGTGAGATCAAGGGAACATGGACCCAGACTTGACTCCAACCAGTGTCATTTCTTACCAAATACAAGCTTCTGTAACAATTCCAGCACTACAATCACTGAGGTACACCCCTAGAAACAGCAGTATAAACGGTAATTGCAGTAGTAAAAATACGACATTCGGGCTCCTCGAATATTTCGGGGCACCTGCTTTTGGTGAAGAAGGGCAAATGGTATAGTATTACTGTCACTTAATACTAAGTTAAGTTAGGCACTGTTTCTGGCTGCATCAAGAGAAAATGTCTTACGCCCGATTCCTGCTCTGTCGTCTCAACTTTATCTTGTCACCGGTTAAGCGGAAAAGGGTTTAGAAGGAAGAAGATGGCGGCGCGTCTACTTTCACTATACTCGACTGTAATCATCATCCCTGCTCTCGAGCCTATGGTGGACATAATCGCTTACGAGGGTCGAACTAACACAACACACTGTAAACAACACTGTTTCCCGTCTATAAAATTTTGAAGTTACAATGACATCGAAGATCAACGAGCAAATTCATATTATGTATGCGGGCACTTTGAACAGAGTATCGTCTTTTCAGACGTCGGGAAGGTGGCTCATTCAAAAGCTAGCATTCTGAAGTGATTGTCATGTATTTGGAGAAGGGTGCGCGAAAATATAATAGAACAACCACACGCAAACAATTATATGTAAGTAAAAACACATTTCGGAATTTCAAGTGAAATATGCGAAAAAGCAAATCAGATGAAGCATTAATATGTGGAGCCATTATGGCTTTGAAGAGACTCGGAAATGAGTCTATCTTGTGAACACCAGTCCGCGTTTACGATCATTTTACCCTATAGGCGACGGTTCGATGATGTCCACCATGAGCCTCAGCGAACTGAAGAAACGTGGTGACTCCCGCGGGATTATAGTAAAAGCAGGCTCGCGGAGAATCCACCCCACTCTTTCACCACCCCCACGGTGGACCCGACACC